AAAAAAAACAACCATTTAAATAAATCCATCATAACAGATTGTAAAAAAAATAAAATAAAAAAGATATAAAAAAAATCATTTCCCTAATTTAAATAGTCAGAGGACGTTCGACCGCACGCAACCAAAACGTAGAAAACGCGAGGAGTCGCGCGGAGCCGTGAAAGTTGTCCAGTTTATTCATTCATTATAATCCATTGGGATCCCGGACTTGTTCTTCTCAAGATAGCGACAGCAAGAGTGGAAGCACTTTCCGAGAGAAAATTTTTTATCAAGAACATGACTTCGTTTTGGTTGAATCGTCGTCTCTACGGGACTGATTCGGCGTCCAGGAGTGCAATCTTGAGGCTACGGAACAAGCGAAAGGTATTGAGTTGATTTTTCTTTTACAATGACTTAGGGTTTTTTTTTTCTTTTCTTTTCTTTCATACTTAGTCGAAATTGGCATGCAATAAGGAATTAGAGAAATATGTTGGTGGAATCGGACTAATCGGAGGTGATAGAGGAAATCAAACAATTTTGTGGTTTGACGGACTATAAAAGAAATTGATTAATTTCATTAATTCATTGCATGTCGAGAAAGTTTGATTGATTTTTTTTATTGAGTTATTTTTTTGATCGAACGAAGTGATTGATTCTATTTTGGATCTAGAATTTTTCTGAAGCTGGAGTCTATGATTTAATAGATCTCAAAACACCATAATCTCTGAATTTTAAAGGATTAGATACTTGATCACTGAATCATATTATGAATGGGTTCATTTTTTTTTTTAATGAAATTAGTGCCTAATTTTTAGAATTTTCTTGGAATTAAAAGTTCTGTACTTGTATTTTTTTAGCTAGATAAGTTTTTCTTATTATGTTGAATGCATGCATTTAAGTATTTGTAAACTGAATTAATTTAATTTATTTAAATATTTTGGAAGCAATCAGGGGAAAATTGGGTTCAACTATTGAGCTTGAACTTTAGAACTTTTAGCTTGCTTAGAATTGCAGTTTCATTTGAGTCTATTCTTCACTCAAGTTTTACTTGTCAAACAAGATATTTGAATTGAAGTTCAAGTGTGGAACTCAAGCCTGACTATTTTACTATCAAGCTATAACTTCAGTAAAATCTTTTAATATGAACCAGTTGATCTCAAACCTAGCTTGAACTTGAAATCAAGTTCGTTTACAAAAAATGAATATGTTACAGGCCAAAAACAAAAAAAAAGAAGAAGAAGAATTATATCAATCCTTGAGCATAGCTTGTTTGTTTTATCAGATGGATTGCAAGCTTGATATTTGTCCATCATGAATGGCTCAGTTCATTTTCACCCAAGAGCAGATATCTCCACTCAAAGTCTAGATGCTCTGTATGCATTTTAAGAAGTTGATATGGACTGTTGTTTGGGTTTGGGTTTGGATTCAGAGATTTAAGGGAACAAGGGTTCGAAATGTTTCAGGGATGAAAGGTTTTAAACAAAGGAGAGGAGGCAAGAGGGAAGGGAAGGCAGTGACTAAATGTTGGGGTTGCCCCATGGTGGGATATATCCTCTCAATCTTAGAGAGAGAAGTTCTCATCTCAGGAGAGAGCCTAGTTGTTGTTTGTTGTTTAATATCAACTATTGTTATGGTCAATGAACAAGTAGTCTAATATTAATCTTCTTTTCTAAAATAAATGTTCTAGAATTGAGTCACTGGATATGGGTGGCTATGTTTGTATTATATTTTATATATTTGTGTTATACTCTATGATGTTATTACTGTTATTTTTACAGGGTAAAACATGTACACCCACAAACAACTTTAATGAAACTTTTAACTGTTTTGTGTTCAATTGTCTGGGCAGAGAAAGTCTGTAATGAAAAATCTGAAGGCTGGCTTCCGAAGGCTGAAAGCAGAGATGCAAGAGATCAGTAAGGATCAACAAAGCATCAAGGTAGGGCAAAAACAAGTCAGAGAAAAACTCGAAGCCATTGAAGCTGAATGTGCACAACTCAGGAAGGATACGGACCTCATGATCAGGCAGAGTGCTGCGAGCAAGCTTAATCTGTGTCTTATGTTCAAAATCCTAAAGGCCCGTGAAGAAGGCGATTTTCTTAAGGCCACCCAGCTTGCTCAATTGCTTCGGTTGGTTTAGTTCCTCAATCTTCATCTTGTTCCTTCTGCTTTTTCCATGCTAAAGTAAAAGGGGAATTCTGCCTGACTTTTTCTTTGTATTCTTGTCTATTTTGCAGCACAATACTGACCAGGCAGAATGAGTTAAGGCAGGGATCTATATAATGCAAAAATGAGGAACGAAGGCAGGGTATCCATATAATGGACAAATAAGGAATAATTGTTAATAGGATTAAGCTAGTTGTTATTATGTTCTATGTTCTTGTTTTTTTCTCTTTTAGTGGAACCAGATGCTGTGTTCTTCTGCTTATCGTTATTCTCTATCAGTCATTTCAAGTTTTATTGTGTTTAATTGCAGACTTAATGGATGTTGAATTTTATTTATGTTTGTCATGTTAGATTGTTATATTGTTTTAAGCGCCAACGACAGTTATCTTTCCAATACAGAATATGTATGATACAGTTTACATATTTAAAATGTAAATTATATCTCACTGGAAAATAGTTTCTCAAGCAACAAATCTCATCGTTTTCTTGGAAACCCTAAAACTTGTCGCGAGGTTTGCGGCTAAAGTTGTCAGCAAAGTTGGAAACTTCCTCAAATCTCTCAAGAAACAGAATTGTAGAATTTTCTAGTGAAGACTGATGAAAATGGAGACGTTCTTTCGAACATTCACCCTCACACGAATTGTGAAGAATCTCTGACGAAAAGACCGCTATGTGGGCCTGTTTCTTTGGGCCAGTTTATGTGGGCTGTACCCTGTGCCATTTACGTTATCTTCACTCAATGCTAATAATATTGACTTTCTATATCTTGCCAACGAAGACAATCGGGTCAAATGAGTCTTAATTATAAATACACATATTTTACATTTTCCAAACTTATTGGAAGAATTATTGGCACTATATTTTAGCACAAGTTTTGACGATGACAGATTATAATTATAATTATATTATTATTATACATAAATCATGTTAAAAGAAAAAGCGAACATTTCCCAAAAGATTTGATCATTACTTAGCAGTTACGGTCTGAATTAAATGAATTCTATTTTACGGCCGTGATATGTTATATATATTTCTGATGAACCCCTCCAAGCTTGCCTTGCCCAACACTCGGAGAAGATTATCGCCGCCATTCATTACATCTTGAAGCAAGAACATACTACGCGTTTATAAACCGACTTACAGTAGGTTTCTTCTCCGAATCTCCGTTTCCCAGTTTTTTACATCATAATGTTAATTATATGTAGTTCCGATAGTTATATCAATCCGATGAACGCAAAAAAGCTTGCCCAGCACTCCAGGAACGCTGTCACTGTCATTTCGCCGACTAAAGTTTTTTCTCCGAATCCCCCTTTGCCCAAAGAAGGCGGTTTGAATCATGATGATTATTATATATACTAAGATTAGCTCATCGGAATAATTTTGGAAGAAAACAATCTGATCATCTACTAATCAATTCAATTCAGGAATCCCATGGCGCGAAGGCTTTCTACATCCTTATTACTAAGGAAGCAGAACGCAATGAGAGGGAATATGAAGCGATTGAGATTGGAGATGAAGGAGATTAGTATGGATCAGAAGCAAATTCGGACAGACCAGAGAGATTTGAGAGAAAAGTTGGAACACAACAATGAGCAATGCGTGCAGCTTAGACAGGAGATGGAAGTGGTCGCCAAGCAGAAAGCTCGGAATCAGCTCCTCTTGAATCTCACATTCAGAATCTTGAAGGCTCGCCAAGCAGGGGACTTCGCCACAGCCATCTCCTTTACTCGGATCCTCCGGTTTGTGTTTCCCAAACTATTTTCTTTTTCTCTTAGTCCTTATGCATGTTAATTTATTTTTTCAATGTTTATTAATTCATTTACTTTTTATTTGCATACAGTCAGGTGGTACAAAACAGGGGAGCGAATGAAGGAAATGCATCCGATGATACAAAACAAGAACAAAATGTTACTAAAGTTTAAATTGCTCGAGAAATTCTATGCTTTGTGTTGAAGTAAGAATAAGAGATTGCTTTATTGATTTATTGCAATTGTTGTATCTAAGTTTGAATTGGTATGAGAAATTGTATTGTGTTAGGCTCAAGGAACCAAGAAATGATATTGAATATGGTTTTATTGTACGATGTACCTCACGTTTGCAACAACTTGAGTTGCAAACTTTCATTGCTTTGGTCAGATGGTCTTTGCTTGTATTATTTGTACTCCGAGAACAATATATGTATTTTATGAGAAAAGTGTTTTATATTTTGGATTATTTTATATTATAAAATTTAATCATTAAATAAAAAGAACCCTTAACATTAGAGTTTTTTTTTTAATCTAAAAAATTCATATTTTATCATTTAAAATAATGGATTTTATATTTTAATTGTCCTTTGTATATAGATTTCCATAGATTTTCTTTATTTAAATCATATTATGGAATGAAATTTTTATTTTATAATTCAAACAATATAAGACTATAAAATAAAAATTATTAAATAAAAAAAACCCTTAGTATTAAGAAAGTTACTTTTATTTAATAATTATATTTGTACAATTCATAATTATTTAAATTACACAATGATCTTTTTATCAAATATTGAAATATTGTGCGGTATGCATTTTTTCCCAAAAAAAAATAGTACTACACATTATTATTAAAGATATCCAAAATGACTGAATTTTTTTGGATACAAACCGACCTCCGTAATCAAGTTGTAATTTTTTTTTAAATGGGTTAAAAAATAAGAAATATTTACTTTTTACCGTGTAGCTCAAAAATTAGAAAAAAGAAAAAGAAAAAGAAAAAAAAAGGTTGTTTCCTTTTTTAGCCAAATCAAGGTTGTGTAAATCCCAATACAGTTAACAGGAGTTGGTGCGGATTGGGGATTGCGACCACCTCACATGGACTAAAATCCTCCGGAGCAATGGAGGATGATTTATTTATTTATTTATTTTGCTCGGATTTAGGATCGGAATGACAGCAGAATACCAGAAACAAGGCCAACCATGATTTCTTGTGGGTCGATGCGATGCAATGCTCTTCTTGAAAGACAATGGGATACAATGGTTCATGGAAAATGAAGGTCATTCCTTCTCTTTCTACTAGAATACTGTTTTTAATTATTCATTTTGTGGGAATATATGGGTACTATAATTTTCAGTTGTGGAACACAACTAACTACATTTTTCAATTTCCGGCAGGTTTAGAAAGGTCGTCAAGCTTAACCATTTGGAGTTTCTTGATTTGAGTTCCAATGGTTTGTCTGAGAGCAGCATTTTCACATCTCTATGAGGAGTTTCATCTCTTTAAGTATCTGAATCAATCCCTTAATTGGATTACAGGACCAGTCAACAATAGAGGTAATTTTTCAAATCCTTATCCATCTAAAATGCCTTTTTGTATTCCATATCCATCAGTTAACTTGTGCTACCAGAATATAGTTTAAATTGATTTCAAATTTTACAGATAATTTATCAAGGTTGAGCCGTTTGGAGTTTCTTGATTTAAGTTATAATTAATTGGACAATAGCATCCTATCATTTTTGACAGGTCTTTCATCATTGAAAGTGTTAAATCTAGCAGGCAATGAGATGGAAGTAAGTTTCCATATTCCAGGTAGTTGTTTACATAAAATGACCAATTAATCTGATATGCTCTAAGATATAAGATATGAGATCCAGTTTTAACATTATATTTTTGAGGGACTCGGAGCTGCTAATTAGTTGTAAACACACAAATAATGCTTATTTCTCATAAACCCTGTGTGCAGATGTTAAAAGACCACTGGGACTAAGTAATTTGAAAGCTTTGGATTTGCACAGTAATTCTTTCAGTATCAGGATTTTATCTTCCCTAAGAGGGCTTCCATCTCTTAGGATTCTTGATTTGAGTGATAACAAGTTAAAAAGAATACAAAATATTAAAGGTAGATCAATTGTTTCACTTGTTTTATATTTTCATCAATCATTGAATACTATATGCTTCTAATGAAATCCTGATTCTTTTCCCTTATTGTAATTTAACTGGTTTCATTTTGTCTCTGCAACTGCCAGAATTAATTACTTTAAACAAGTTGAAGGAGCTAGATTTAAGCCATAATGAAGTTGAAAGTTTTGTGGCCCCCAAAGGTACTGATGGAAGTAGAGTGTTTGGTTATGATAAGGCTGGGTCATTCTGTTCCTTTCATCAACAAAACCCCCAAAAAGAATTAGAAAACTTGATCCATTAGTTTCATACTCATAAATCTCTTGATGAAACTGTTAGATTTTTGAGGTAAGAAGAAGGGATTGAGAGAGGACTTGGAGGAGAGTAAGAGAAGAGTAGAACTTAGAACATGATATAGAACATAAATTTGGAAGGGTGCAGACTTTCACCCAACCAAGAGGAGAGGAGAAATTGTTCTCCAACTCTCTCTTATATTTCCATTAACAATGTCTGCTCATTTATAGTAGAAATGCAATGTAAAAACAATATTTTTCACCTGCTTTCCATGATTTATGGTTACATGTTTCTAACAAAATCCATCCTAACGTTTAAATCAAGGATTGCAATACATAAACTAACATAAAAATGTACATTGAAACACTATCGCATTGCTGCACTTTTGTTGACTAGTTTGCAGCCTCCATTTGCATTTACATTTGGATTTGCATTTCATTTCCTTCCATAATGCGGCAGTTTGCTACATCTTTCTTTCCTCCATTGAAGTAGCCTTATTGCTACACATTTTGTCCCATAAATGTAGCTTCTTGCTACACCATTTTGTTGTTTTATGGTAGCAACATCACAGCTTTGATGCCATTGCTCCAACAAAAACAATAATTTAGCACTAACAGAACTTTTAGGCTATGTTTTCATTGGCAGCTTGGAGTAGATGCCCTTTGAAGATCATGAATTTGCTAAAAGATCACATTTTTGGGGCTTTGAAGTTCATCTTGATTCTCTCTTTTGCTTATAGATATGAGAACTTCAAGCATGCTAGAGGTCCTAAAACTAAGAGGGAACAACATCACTTGCAGAGGCTGTCTACTAAAGTCAACCAGGTCATACCCTTTAATTAAGACCCTTGATCTTATTGGCAGTACATCTATAGAACCAGTGACTGTTGAATGTAAGTAAGCCAGACAAGCCGAAAAGAAAAACAAAAGAAATGCTTACCCTGTAATTCAGTCTTTCCATTGTACATTATCTCTCATTATCTAGGTTGCTACTGAGAACTCATTACTTAATTTTCAGATTTTCACACTTTCAAGGAGTTGGAAGTATTGCTTTTGCATGGATCTTCTCTTCACGATAATTTTCTTTAGAGCGTTGGAACTGTAAACTCTCTTAAAGTATTGTCTATGTCCTCCTATGATCTCAATGGAACTCTTCCTAGTCAAGGTAAAATGTACAATCTTCTCATTAGAATTATGATTGTATGTAACAATTTTTCACTTATTTGTTTCTTATTGTTTGTGTTATTTAGCCTATTTAGACTTGTCCAACAACTAGTTGTCTAGAGGAATACCATAATTGCTGGTCCTGGGTTACCCCTTCGAAATTCTCATATTGTCAGCCAATAATTTGTAGGGGCAAGTATTTCCTCTTCTTTTCAACTTAATGAAGTTAAGTTTGTTACTACTTGGCAGCATTAACTTTGCATGAGAGATACTTGAGTTCTCATTTGTCAACTCTTTCACAAACAATAATAGACATGAGCAACAACGATTTCTCAAACAAGCTTCCAAGTTGGATATGGAACGTATCTCCTAGAATAGGCTGTCTTTGTCCAAAAATCATTTTTAGGGTCCTTTTTTGATTAAATTTTGTGCCCTTCATATCCTTGTATTTCTTGACTTTCATACAACAACGTGTCTGACTCTATCCTAGAATGCTTCAATCCAATTCAAATAACATGTTCATTTGAGCAGGAATAGCCTAACAGGGCCATTGACAAAACCATTCTATGGCAGCTCTTCTCTGGAGACATTGGACCTTACAGGGAGCAATCTAACCGGTCTAATTCCTGCTTAGATTGGCAGTCTACCTTTATTGAGCATTCTTTTGTTGGAAGCTAACCATTTTGAAGGTGAAATTCTTATTCAGCTGTGGCAGTTGAACAAATTAAGGATACTAGATCTTTCTCAAAATAATCTCTCTGGTTCTATAGCTATCAGCTTGAGTAATCTAACATTTGAGGCATCAGATCCTCCAATTGATTACTAGATCTTTCTCAAAATAATCTCTCTGGTTCTATAGCTATCTGCTTGAGTAATTTAAAATTTGAGGCATCAGATCCTCCAATTGATGATAACTTTTTGGAGGGGATAGAACTTCAAGGGAATGTTCACTATCAGACATAAGGATAGGAGACACAAAGCTCACAAAGAATTTCAAGGACTTTTTGACATGTATTTATAAGGTCATTGACGTGGAGGATTGGGTAGAGTTTACAACTGTAAACTTTCAAGGAGAAAAGAGAGGCAAACAGAAATGGGGTGCAAAACACACATTTTCATTAACAATTCTACCTTTTACATAGCAATCAAGGAAATTGTTAAAAACAGAGGAAAGTACTATGAACAGAAATAAGTTAGTTTTCCATTACATTAAAACAAACTACTAATTGCAACTAATTAAAACTAACATGAGTGCCACCATCAAGAATGAAGGTTTGTGGCCTTTGTGTATTGGCTAATTTCAACACTCATTGCCAATAAGGCAACTGAAAACAAACTTTTCTCTTGAGGGTTTCAAACCTGGATTTTTGCAGACCTTTAGTGAACAAATCTGCCAACTAGTTCCCAGGTACCATTCTTAACAATCATGTTGATCTCCTCTTACATAGCGTTTCTCCACACCTCTAAATTTCAGTATCCTAGTAATCACATGGCTCCAAAGTAGCCTAGTTACACCTGCTATAAACATCATCAAGAGTTCCAGTACTTCTCACAGGAAGGTCATCAACTGAATCATTATTAACATGTTTTGCATTGTCATGACCAGGTTAAGGAAAATCAAAGAAATCCAAATCATCACTGCCATCAATGACTTCCTGCTTCTCTCAGTCCCATGAAGCTTTCTCGTCAAATTTCAAACTCCTACTAACTTCAATTTTTTGAGTTTAACATTACAAACTCTATATGCCTTATAATGTGAACTGTAGCCAATGAAAATGCAAATATCAACTCTGTGGTCAAGCTTGTCCTTGTTCGCTGTAGGAATTAAAGTGTTACAAACACTCCCAAAAATTCTAAGATGGCTAACAGATGGCTTGAAATGAAATCAAGCTTCATTAGAAGTTTTGTTCTGAACTGCCCTAGTAGGTAGTATGTCGAGAAGATAAACTGAGATAATCACTGCTTCAGCCCAAAACTTCTTAGGCAAACCCTTCTCAAACAGCAAACACCTTGTCATGTTCATCACTAATCTATTCTTCCTCTCACTAAAACCATTTCACTGTGGTGTATATGATATAGTGAGCTAGTGTCCTAGTAATGAATTCCGTATTTTTACATAAAATCCTCGAACTGATGTGAGGCTTTAATGGTTTTACCACATTTATTTTCAACTAGAGCCTTAAAATTCTTAAACATGCCAAACACTTCTGATTTTTGCTTCAAGAAGTAAACCTAACAATATTCATTAAAATCATCTATAAACAACAAGAATTATTTGCTTCCATTCAAAGACAAATTTTTCATAGGGCCATATAAATTAGTATGCACCAACTAGAGCTTCTTAGTAGCTTTCTTAACTTTATTAGTAGGAAAAGGAAATTGGTTTAATTTCCCTAACTGACAAACTTCACACATCTCACTACAGTCCTTAACAATTAGTACATCACAAGTCATTCCCTTGCCATGCATCATTTTCAAGGAGCTATGATTAACCTTTCATGCCACAAACAGATTTCATCAACAACAACACTAGTACAAGCTTTAATTTGAATTTCTTTCCATTCTACTGGAAAACATCTATCACTCATCATAACTGATAGAAGCTTCACACCAGAAGCATCATTAATGTCACATGATTTGTAACAAAAGTTCAAGGAGTAGCCACTTTCAAGCAATTGAGCAACACTTATCAAACTTTGACTTATACTAGGTACATATAACAAATTGTGAATTAATTTTGTGTAGCTACAGTTCCTTTCCTTTAACATCAACATAGTCACCATGTGCAAGCTTTATTCTAGATGCATAGCTTGAATCCAAGTTCTTGAAAAGATTTCTGTTTGGAGTTATGTGGTGAATACAACCACTATCAATCAACCACGCTGAAGATCCAGACTCCACAACATGGCAACGTTCAATTTTGGAAGCAAAAAACAATTGCTCCTCCTGTCACTCATTATTTTCTGCTAATTGAGCTTGTACCGGCTTGTTTTTGAGGATGTTGTCAACTTGGCCAAATTGTTTACAGAGTTTATATTGCAGACCAAGTCTAGTCCAGCAATAACTCTCAGTATGGCCTTTCTTGTTGCAATTAGAATAGAAAAAACTACCCCTTTTGCCTTTGTACTTGTTGCCTCGATACTCCTTTTTCTCCTTGTCCTTTCTTTCAAAGAACTGCTTTTTTCGGCCGTCTATCACTTGAGATCTACTAGCTTCTTTGACTACCAAAGCACCTTTAATAGGTTTGTTTTCAAGCCTTAAAGACTTTCTTTGCTCAACAGCTTGCAAAGCATTGGCAAGTTCAAACAATGAGATTTGAGTAAGATCTCTAGAATCCTCTGAGGATATCTTGGGCTCGAATTTCTTAAGCAAACTAACAAGAACTTTTTGAACCACACTTCTATCACTAATCTTTTCACCATTCAACCTTATTTGGTTGACAATCTTCATGACCATGTCAGCATACTCCTTCATAGTCTTGGTCTCAGGCATCATTTGTATCTCGTATTCTCTTCTCCAGTTAAGAATCTGCATTTGGATTACCTTATAGTTTCTCTGTAACTCTTGCTAAATCGCATCCCAAGCTTGCTTTGCTGTTTCACAAGTCATAATCATGCTAAAGATTTCATCCGTGACGGAGGAATGAATACAAGGGCTTTATACTTCTTGGCAAACCCTTTGAGTATCTCCTCATCTGATTCAAAGTGGCATTTGCAGGCAAAGGAGGAAGAACACTTTTTGTCTCAACATCTTCCCAAAGATTGAAAGCTTTGAGATAAGCCTTCATTTTGACTGCCCAAACAGCATAATTTTTATTAGAAAAAAACTAGAGACTTTGCTGTGAAACTGTTGCTGGATTCCATGGAAGAACTCTCAAGTGTTTGGTGGTGTTTTTGGGATTCTCTCGGATCACTCCCTCACATTCCCTCAAGATCAGAAAAGCTTTAATACCATGTAAACTTTCATGGAGAAAAAAGAGAAAAAAGAGGAAAGCAGAAATGGAGCGCAAAACATATATTTTCATTAACAAGTCTGCCTTTTACATGGAAATCAAGAAAATTACTAAAAACAGAAGGAAACTACTATGAATAGAAACAAGTTAATTGTCTATTACATTAAAAACAAGCTACTAATTACAACTAACTAAAACTAACGTCAATGCCACTGTTAAGAATGAAGGTCTGTGGCCTTAGTGTCATGGCTAACTTCAACAACAACAAAGAGTATGTCGTATGTTTACAATGGAAGCATCCTTGATTTGCATGTTTGGCATTCATTGTCTTGCAACCATCTCCCTGAAAGGATCCCACCTCAAATTGGATACTTGAACCGGATCTGTGCACTAAACATTTCACACAACAAGATAACAGGACCAATTCCCCCCACCTTTTCAAACAAAGCAGATTGAAAGTTTGGACCTTTCCCATAACAATTTGAGTGAGCGTATCCCCCATTAGTTAACAGAGCTAAACACCATGGCTGTGTTTTCTGTTGCATACAAAAACTTATCAAGGCCAACCCTGGATAAAAAGCTCAATTTGGGACCTTTGATGAATGTAGCTGCGAAGGAAATCCTCTTTTCTGTGGAGCTCCACTGCAGATCAGTTACTCCAAAATTAAATTACCATAAGTTCTAACCAGTGTCTTCAATTCTGATAGGGAGAGCAATGGTTTGATCGACATGAATGTTTTCTACTAGATCTTTGTGGTAACTTATGTTGCAGCGTTGATGGGATTTGTAGCAGTTCTGTACATAAATCCGTATTGAAAACAGGAATGGTTTTACTTCATTGAAGTCTGCATCTCCTTTTGTTACTACCTTGTTCCAGATAACTTTTTTTGGTTTTCCAACAGAATCATTAACTTCTAGTCACCCTCTCCCTTCTGTCGCCCTAATTTTCTCCTCTTTCTCTTATTTTTTTTTCTTTCCCCTAGCCGCCACTATCTCTCTCCCACTCGACGGTTAGGGTGCATGGCTAAAGGTGGGAGCTCTTTCCTCTTTTGTAAGGTTTTCCCCTCTTGTGGAGGTTTTTTTTCTCTTTTTTATGACAACTTGAACACTATATTTGTTGAACTCAGTTTAGTTATTGTGTTTGTTTCGACTATTTAAGGTATGGTTGGGGATGGAGTTCTTAGTTAAATTTTTTTATCTCAACTACTTTTTCTTCTATTTAGATGGATTATGTTAGAATGATACTTAATTGTTAAATCTTAAGTTTAGTTGCGGTATTCATATAGATATTAAATTATTTAATTTTATATTTTTACAAATTTTATAAATGTAATACTTTTAGCTTATTACTCTGTTCGGGTTGGTCTTGTAAGTTTTATGGTTTTCATATATCAATGATATTATATTTTTTATATAAAAAAAAAATTCATCAACTTGTAGAGTTAAGACAAGGGTGACTGGTGATGAAATGAGAATTGTGAGAGAAATAAAATGTTCCAGGGGCAGCCTTGGATTCAAATGTTCTTAATGCAAACGACGATATGGAAGTTTCCTACTAAGTTTCTTTTTTTGTTTTACTTACTTAGGGGAGTTGTTGGAATAGGGGAGAGTAATGGCTGATAATAAATTTCAAAACTTTTATATTTAGGTATGTTCATGGTGATTAAGTCAAGTAATGCCGGACTTCCTACTAAGTTTTATTTATAGAAAAGTTGTTTTACTTTACGCAAGGTCAAGATTGTCTTGTCTCAATATAGTCTGAGGATAGGTGCCAATTAGTCATTGCTAGCACACCAACGTGGACTGAAATATCCACGGAGCATTATTTTTTCTGTTTGGGTTTGGAATGACAGTGACCGGAATGGCAGAAACAACACCCTAACTCGAGGTCAACCAAACATTTAGTTATGGCATTATTGGCATTATATACTCGAGTCTATGGTCGGTCACTTTTTACTTTCCTGGGTGCTCAAGCGCCTCCATCTTTGACCGAAACTGAAACTCCATTATAAGAAGAAAATGGAGCTACATTGCTTCAAGCCAAAAACAAAACATGGCGGAAAAATGGGTTGTAGCAATTGTAATGGTTTTGGTTTTGGTAAGTGGGTGGCATTGTTCTTCTTGTTGTGGTTGTTTGGAGGAAGAGAGAATTGCCCTTTTGAACCTCAAACATTCAATCTCCCCACCAATGGGCAATGCTCTAGCATCTTGGAGAGGGCACGGTGACTGTTGTAAGTGGGTTGGGGTTGAATGCAACATCACAACAAGGAGAGTGATCCAGCTCTCTCTTAATCATATTAGGGATTGGGAATTTGAGGGTTGGTTTCTCAATTCATCTCTATTTTCGCCCTTTGAAGAGTTGAAGAGTCTTTTCTTGAGTAGCAATGGCATTTTAGGTTTCATGAAAAATGAAGGTCATTGTTTTCTTTCTATTCGAGCAACACTTTTAGTCTTTCATTTGTGGGATATATGGTATTAGAATTTTCAGTTTTGAAACACAGCTGACTATATTAATTTCTTGCACAGGTTTAGAAAGGTTGTCAAGCTTGAGCAATTTGGAGGTTCTTGATTTGAGTTACAATGGTTTAGGTAACAGCAGCATTTTAACATCTATAGGAGGTCTTTCGTCGCTCAAGTATCTGAATCTATCATACACCTGGATTGCAGAACCAGACAATGATAGATGTAATTTTTTCAAATTCGTACCCATCTAAAATGGCTTTTGTATTGTGCATCCATCAGTTAACTCTTGCTACCAGAATTTAGCAAATATGAAATGATCTGATTTGATTGATGAAACTGATTTCAAATTTTACAGATAATTTATCAAGGTTGAGGAGTTTGGAGTTTCTTGATTTAAGTTCTAACAAATTGAATAATAACATCCTATCATCTCTGGCAAGTCTTTCATCCTTAAAAGTGTTAAAACTTGCAGACAATCAAATGGAAGGAAGCCTCCATATTCCAGGTAGTCTTTTACGTAACATAACCAATTAATTTGATAGGCTCTAAGAAATGAGGTATGATATCCAATTTTTGACATCATTATGTTTGTTGATGAACTTGGAGCTGCTCATTACTTGTAATTTGTAAACATGCAAATAGTGCTTATTTCTCATAAACCTTATGTATAGGTGTTAAAAGACCACTGGGGTTAAGTAATTTGAAAGTGCTTGATCTGAGCAGCAATTCTTTCAATAGCACGATTTTATCTTCCCTAAGAGGGCTTTCATCTCTCAGGAGTCTTGATTTGAGTAAGAACAAATTAAAAGGAATACTAAATATTAAAGGTAAATGAATTGTTTCACTTGTTTTCTATTTTCATTTGTCATTGAATATCCTTCTAATGAAATGCTGTTTCTTTTCCCTTATTTTTATTTAATTGATTGTATTTTGTCTCTACCAGAATTAGTTACTCTAAACAATCTGAAGGAGCTGGATTTAAGCTATAATGAAGTGGAAATTTTTGTGGCTCCCAAAGGTATGCATGATGTTTTTTGGTTGGCATCCAAAGGTACTCATGATCAAAGTAGAAAGTTTGGTTATGATGAGGCCTAGTCATTGTATTCCTTTCATCAATAAATCCCCTAAGAATCAGAACACCTGACCCACTGGTTTCATACTAGTAAAAAATTTAATTGAATTGTAATTGACTTATACATCAATTGAGACAAATTTAGCTCAAGCAAAACTTTTAAGGCCATGTTTTCATTGGCTACTGTGGAGCAAATGTCCTTTAAAGATCATGAGTTTGCTACAAGATCACATCTCTATTGCTTTGAAGCTCATCTTGATTCTCTCTTTATGCTTGTAGATACGAGAAGTTTGAGCATGCTAGAAGTCCTAAATCTACGTGTCAACAAAAACACTTGTGGAAGCTGTCTACTACAGTCAATCAAAGCATTCCCTTTAATTAAAACCCTTGATCTAAGTGGTAGTAGATCTATAGAACCAGTGAATGTTGAAGGTGAGTAATGCAGACAGGAAAAAAAGGAAAAAAAAGGAAAAAGAAAAAGAAAATGAAATGCCTACCTATATTTTAGTTTTACCATTGTACATTATCTTCTTTTATCCAAGCTACTAACAATCAATACTTAATTTTTAGATTTTCACACTTTCAAGGAGTTGGAAGTAATGCTTATGGATGCATCTTCTCTTCACAATAATTTTCTTCAGAGTATTGGAACACTAAGCTCCCTTAAAGTTTTGTCTGTGTCCTATTGTGAGCTTAATGGAACCCTGCCCAGTCAAGGTAAGACATATAATCTTCTCACTAGAATTACAATTTTATGTCACAATTCCTCATTTCTTTGTTTCTTAATTGTTTCTCATGTTAGTAATTTGATTGTTTTTCTTTCTCGACAATTGATATTTACAGGATGGTGTGAATTGAAGAACCTTGAAGAGTTAGATTTAAGTAAAAATAATTTTCAGGGAATGCTTCCCTCTTGTTTGGGAAACTTGTCATATCTTCAAGTGTTGGATATATCGTCTAACCATTTCACAGGAAATATTGCCACCGGCCCTCTTACCAATTTGAAATCACTTGAATATCTCTCATTTTCAAGTAACAACTTTCAAGTCCCAGTTTCCTTTAGGATGTTTGCCAACCACTCCAAACTTAAGGACCTTCTTGGTGATGGCAACAATTTAACGCTAGAACCTCTCCTTCAAACTCCAGCTCCAAAGTTCCAACTCAGGTTTTTGAGTTTGTCTTTCATTGCATTAAAAGAACTTCCCTACTTCCTCTATCACCAAAATAACCTTAGGGTTGTTGATATCTCCCACAACAACATCACTGGAGGGTTCCCATCTTGGTTGTTCAAGAATAATACAGGATTAGAAGTACTCAACCTAGGATATAACTCCATTTCAGGACCTTTGCAGTTGCATTCACAACCTCATTTCAACATTGCAATCTTAGATGTATCTAAGAATAGTCTACTCGGACATATTCCTATAAACATGAGTTCAGTCTTTCCCCATCTTACAACCTTAGTCATGTCCAAAAATTCCTTTCAAGGTCAGATTCCAGCTTCTTTTGGTGATATGAAATCATTAGAATCTTTAAGCCTATCAAACAATCATTTCTCTAGGAGTATCCCTGATTCCTTTGGTCGTTTGAGCTCTTTAGCCTTTTTAGACTTGTCTAACAACCAATTGTCTGGAGGAATACCAGAAGTGCTGGTCCTAGGTTGCCCCTTGGAAGTTCTCAAATTGTCGGGCAATAATTTACAGGGGCAAGTATTTCCTCTTCTTTTTAGCTCAACGAAGTTAAGGCTGTTACAACTAGGTGACAATAACTTTGCAGGAGAAATACCAGAGTTTTCATCTATCAACAACTCTTTTTCACCAATAGTTATAGACATGAGCAACAACCATTTCTCAGGCAAGCTTCTAAGATGGTTGGGAAATATATCATCCTTGAGTGGGCTAACTTTGTCCAACAATCATTTTGAGGGTCCATTTCCGGTAGAATTTTGTGGTCTGGATACCCTTGGCTTTCTTGACCTCTCAAATAACAACTTGTCTGGCTCTATCCCTGAATGCTTTAATCCATTGTATATAAGACATGTTCAATTGAGCAAAAATAGATTGACTGGACCATTGACAAAAGCATTCTATGGTAGCTCTAGTCTGGAGACATTGGACCTTTCAAGGAACCATCTAACAGGTATAATTCCTGGTTGGATCGGCAACCTACCTTCATTGAGCATTCTTTTGTTGAAAGCTAACCATTTTGAAGGTGAAATTCCTGTTCAGCTATGTCACTTGAACAATTTAAGGATCTTGGATCTTTCTCAAAATAATCTTTCTGGTTCTATACCTTTCTGTCTGAGTAATTTAACGTTTGAGGCATCAGTTTCTCGATATCTAGAGTTTTCTGTGGCAAGTAGTAGATCAGTGATTTTTTCACTGTCAGACATTGGGGAGAAAAAGCTAATAAAGAATTTTGGCAACTTCGAGGCATTTAACTATAAGGTGGATGACGTGGAGAAGTGGGTAGAATTTACAACGAAGAGCATGCCATATGTTTACAATGGAAGCATCCTTGATTACATGTCCGGGATTGATTTTTCTTGCAACTGTCTCACTGGAAGGATTCCACCTGAAATTGGATACTTGAATGAGATCCATGCGCTAAACTTGTCACACAACAAGTTAATTGGATCAATTCCCTCTACATTTTCAAATCTGAAGCAGGTTGAAAGTTTGGACCTTTCTTATAACAATTTGAATGGGAGAATCCCCCCTCAGTTGACTGAGCTAAACACCTTATCTGTGTTTTCTGTTGCATACAACAACTTATCAGGACCAATCCCAGATCAAAAAGCCCAATTTGCAACCTTTGGTGAAAGCAGCTATAAAGGAAATCCTTTTCTTTGTGGAGTTCCATTGCACATCGGTTGCACCAAAATTGAATCACCATCAATTCTGACCAATGTCACGAATGGTTTAATTGACATGAGTGTTTTCTACTGGAGCTTTGTGGTAACTTATGTTGTGGTGTTGATGGTAATTGTACTAGTTTTGTACATAAATCCTTATTGGAGAGGGGCATGGTTTTACTTCATTGAAGTTTGCATCACCTCTTGTTACTATTTTGTTCTGGGCAACTTTTTTAGGTTTTCCAAAAGAATCATTTAACCTTTGTAGAGTCATGAAGAATGACTGGTAATGGGAATTATAACAGAAAATGAGCATTCAAGGAGTAGCCCTGGATGCAATGTAAACTTTGATATTGTAGTTTCCTACTACGGAAGTTCATCACAATAAATCATGCATATTCATCAATTCCACCAAATGTCATTTATTGGAAAACAATTACAACATTTCATAAAGTGCATGTACAAACTGTTGTAGTTTTTGTTCACAGAGAATGGAGCAGAGTGATTGGTACAAAAGCTTAAACCAGAATCCAATTAATTAGGGGTACAATCAAGATGCTATGGCTCAAAACTACCACTCTTCCAACCAAAACAGCGGTGGAGAAAAAGGCACTCTGATCGTAAAATGTTTAAAAAAAGATGAGAACCCAAGAACATACGCTCACATTTGCAGTCTAAATGCAGCAAAGAATTACCAAGAGGAACCATCTCTTTAGGCTACAAAGGTCAAAAAGGGTAAGCTGAATACAAAAACTTGATCCTTCCTCTGTGCCCCCGCAAACCGTAGCCTGTTAAGATATATCTTGGGAACTTTAAAAAAGTTAATTCATTCTCCTTGTTAGAAACCTATCACTTGAGAAAAATCTTTCTGATAATTGATGACAGATGCAATTAGTATTTAGTTCGGAATAGAGTAGAGAATGATAATCTCAGCAATGCTTCAGAACTTCCGTGCCCTCAGTTCACCATGTCCAGCTATAAAAGCACAGAAAATGGAAAAATTCCAGCTATTTAAACCTTCCTATAAGGGCATGTAGAACAGTTATCTTTTGAGCACCATTGCACCACAGAAACGAGCATGTTTATGTACTTCTGGACATCATCAACCAGAAGACATGGCTTCCTCAAATCTCTTAATTATAATACTAAGACTACCACCACTTTCCAAAGCTGTGACAGCAGCTCAATGACTGTGCCCGTGTCATTTAAGATAAGCAGGTTGAAAGATTGTAGAACAGACCACCTTGCTGGATTTGGCATCTTCTCAAGGTAATGAAAACCAATAATTAGCATCTTTTTTCTCTCTCTAGGTGAGAATAATTAGTACCTAATAATGGAGTAATATCATGAAAATAGATAGTAGCAGATGTGCCTCAGCTATGGACAATGGGGGTTGTAGAAGGACGCAGATGCTGCAAAACATGTTTTCGTCATTCTCCCCACCCTCAGCCTTCCCATAAATCAGAGCTTCAGCTGCAATACCAGCAAAGGGCACCATGCAGTACCTGATCATATAATTATGCATCAGTATAATCAATAATAGTAGAAAAATATTCCTGATAGGCATTTTTGCTAATGACGTATTTACTAACAACCTTAAGAGAGATGAACATGGTCTGCACTTCTGCAGAGGACCTAGAAGAACAGTTTATTTTAATTCCTGTTTAGACACATTTATTCCACTTGAAATATCAGTGATTATAACTAGAAACTAATGGAACTATAGACCTTATAACCTGATGCAGTACAAGTAAAGTGCAAATAGATTGAGAGTAATAGAAGAAGAAGTTGAAAAAGAGATTTTTTAAAAAAAAAAAAAAAGGAAGGAGAAGAAGGGAGCGAGAGAAGAGGAATAAGTAGAAGGAACAAGAATTAGAAACTGGAATTTAGGTTGGGAAATTTTCTTTAGAGTTTGTAGTCAATATTTCCAAAAATTGATCGTCAAAGTCATGATGAATAACATCCATAACGAAACAAGGAAATCGACAAATTTTCAAGATAGTAAGTGAAATAAATATAATTTGGATGCTAAACTTGCATTTAAGGAAAGAATATCTAAATCTTTAGGCAGCATCAAACATCAGACACCACCTCATGAAACCAACCTGTCAAAGGCAGATCGTCCTTCAGCCAGCTCATTACTCATTTTCTCATCCCAAAACTGAGTTCCAGCCTGTAGAAAAATGGTGAGTTTGGACCTCTATAACTTCCATAAACTAAAGGTGTCCACAAGAGATTATATTGCTTAAGAATCAAACAGGATATAGTATGCACATTAGATTTACTTTAAAAAAATACTTAGAGCAGAATTTAATAAAAAAAAAAAATCAAAATGACTACCTGCCCTTTGATGCCCATCCGCATTGCAGCAATTGGATCTAAAATCACTCCACAAATTTGGCAACCCATAAGGCATGCTCCAAATAAATTAGCCAAAGAAAATTAATTATGCTTGTACGCCAATGTGATATGTCAAGATCATTGTCAAAGAACCAGAAGACAGTAAAGAGAACATCAGCCTTTTGGTCACTGCTAAACATGCAGAAATGACCGCGCAAAAGGTGTTCGAATGCAGGGATTCATATTTCAGATTTCGTATTCAAGAAACCATAATAACATTAACATAAACAATGCAAGAATTACATACAAACAAGGAGGTGGCCTGCTTCATGAACTAGAATCTGACACCTACATGGAGGCCAGTAACTTGAGAGATTAAAGCTAAGTATTGTACCACCAAGGAAGATAGAGTCTAAAAAGGTTAGGCCCAGTATGGCAACAAGGTTAGGCCTGATATCAATCCCTTGAGAAAGCAGATAAGAGACTCCACCCAGAAGAGCAACCAATGCAATGCTTGAGGTTCAGGAAGAACCCCACTTTTTTGGAGAAAGTTTAGAAACTGAAAGAGGAAAAGGTAATCCATAACTATTTCAATGAAATTTTACTTTAAATTTCTAAGATAAAAACAAACTGCTAGAATACCAACCACCATAAAACAACCAAAAAACAATAAACGTCATACATTATTCCAATCCCAATCATCTAAAAGTATGCAATGTGCTGAAGCTGCAAAGACTTCTATATGCAAACTAGTTCAAATTAAGACGACGCAACAACGTTAAGAACTTAGGCAAATCTATAAAAATTAAGACAAAGGTACCATCTAATTATCTAAACCAGTAAAGGACTTCAACACACTTGGTGTAACGTCTATCGGCCCCTCCAGAACTGCATAAAGTGTGCATGTTGAAGAAGTTAAGAGCAGAGCTGCATTCATTCAAGAAGAAACCAAAGTTGTTACAGGGACAATTGCAAAGCCCACTCCTTTTCAAGTTCACTGCGAAATTATTAACTGTGGAGTGCGGACAAAAAAAAAAAAAAAATCAAAAACCAAAACATATGAAAGGAACACCCTTTGCAGGAATTAATAACACAAAAAGCACCTATACCGCTGAACCTTCCAAAATTGGGCAAGAACCGTCGGTCCTTTAGAAACCCTTAAGCACTACCCACAAGTCTCATGTCCGCTAGCATTCAAACACGTATCCAAGACCTCCCAATCGCTCTCAAATCCACCAACAAACCCCAGGTCTCCGAGTTGGGGCCGAAGCGACTCAATGGACAAAGCAAGGACAAGTTCTGGGGGTAAGGGATGAAGCAGAGATAGCCATTCAGAACAATTCTGCTACGAACTTGAAGAAACGCAAGGACTCGTTGATCAGATGTTGGGCCTTTTTCTTTTTTGGGTACAAGAAAGGAGATATTTATTTATTTGTTTTATCATGCCACGTCAGATTGAAATCTATTTTGGGCTTTTGCTGGATTTTGCAGCGTGGATCTAACTGAGACGGGCCTACATGAATGCCCCAACCCAATGATACTGGACTAAATAATAAAAATGATAAAATTGTCATATATGTTTTTGGGCCTGAATGAGGTCTAATATAATTTTTTTTGTTTTTAAATTTTTCCCCTTTTAACTTTTCCAAACTTCACTTGCCTATACAATAAAAAATAACTTATTCCTTTCTAAACTCCTTCTCCACGCTCACCTATCCCAGCATTTAAAATTTAAATATGGAAGTTAAGTTTTTTTTTTTTTATTTTTTTTTTTATGGTTAAACCTTCTATTTACACCATAAATATTATTGTTTTTTGTGATTAACACTCTTTAAAATTTTTACTCCTAATCAATACCCTTTATAATTTGAAATGCATAAAAAACCCAAAATTATTAACAAAGTCAAGATGCATATAAAGGTTTTGGTTGTTAACTTTTAGATTTTTATATAGAATTCAAATTATGAAAGGTATTGACTACAAAAACTAATAGTGTCTAGAATGCAAATAGTAGGTTTGGCCAACTTTTTTTTTCTTCTTCTCTTTTTTTTTTTTTTTTTTTTTTCATTTGATACATCAAATGATGTATTATATAATAAAAGATAATACTCCCTCCCTTTCACTTCATCCTCACCTAATTATCACAAAATTTGAATTCAAAATCTTTAACTTGATTATCTCACTATTTAAACTACTTGACAATTAAACCTAAAGTATGAAAACTTAATCTCTTAACACCTAAAATCTGAGACAAATTTTCTTAATTAAAAAGTATTTTACAATTCAGGCTATAAAATACTAACCTTTTAATTGGAGTTGGGTCTCTTGATATTAGCGGCTCTCTCCTATTAGATAGTTTTTATTTTACAGTTTAGATTAGTCTTGATCGTAAAATAGGATACCCTTTTCTTAACCACAAGAATACAAGACAATTTTTCCGAACTTGTAAACATTGTTATTATACTACTCTCATACTGCTTTTGGGGGAGCTCTTATACTTCAATTTATATTTGTTTCAAAGTTTTCTTTTTAAACGCACGGAAAAGTGAGACAAGAAAATATATAAAAATAAAATACTAGTCATTGACTTTATTCATTTTAGGTGAAACACCTTTAATTTCTACCAATTATGGTTTAACATTCTCTTTGTAAACGAAGTAATTTTAAGACATGCTTAGGTTTGAAATTTGTATATCAATTTCAAAGTCCATTCCAAGTTTGCGATAACATTGAACAAGGTTTGTTGGCAACAATGGTAATAGTTATAATCTCACAAAGGATTTTAAATTTATAATAATGATGTGATATTAAATTAATAGATACATATATTAATATGTGCGAACTTTGAATGAAAAAACCAATTATCTAAAGATATATCATATTGGAAACTTACATACCACAAAGTATGATAACTAAAATATTTTTTTGATAGGAAATATAATTTCATTGATATATAAAAATCATAAAGTTTACAGAATCAACCCAAATGGAGGAATATGCCAGAGGTATTACACTCATAAAATGCATGAAAAATGTTAAATTAAATAATCTAATGTCTACATAAATATTGCAACAAGATCCAAAGTCAAAATTTAACAGTTAAACAACATTTCAACATAATCTATCTAGATAGAAGATAAATTGGTTAGGGAAGAAAAATTTAGCTAGGGACCCCATCCCTAACTATGCTTTGAATAATTGAAATAAGCACGATAACTAATTTGAGTCTAACTATAATATCATGTTCAAGTTGCCATCCTCCTCCAACAAAAAGCAAATCTTAATAAAAAGTTTCTAGAAAGCCAAGGTAGAAACCCTAAAAAAAAAAAATGGAGAAACCTCCACAAAAAAAGGGAAAACCTAACAATACATAAAAGAACTCTGACTTTTAGCCATTCACCCTAACCATCAAGGGGGAGAGAGAGAGTGACAATTAGGTAGAAGAAGAAAACAAGAGAAAGAGGAGAAAATCAGAGTGAGAGAAGGGAGAGGGTCACTAGGGTTTTTTTTTAAGTAACTAAAATATTTTTGTTTTGTTGAATGCATAGTTGCATACAATTTTAGAAATGTTAAGTGCCAATTTTGGTCCCTCAATTTTAGGGTTTTATACAATTTTTATCCCTTAATTTTTTTAAGTACTTTATTGGTCCATTAATTATGAAAAATACACTTTTTTAATCATTTTATCAGTTAATGTATTAAATTTATTTAAATATGTAAATTTTTAGTTTTTCAACTTATAATATATGCGCATTTTTTTTCTCTTAATTTAAAATTTCAAGGATTAAAAATGTATATATATGGATATGGTTAACAGACCAACTAATCGAAGAACTAAAATAGTGCATCTTATATAATTGAGAGACAAATATATATATATATATATATATAAGTTAAGAAAGTGCAAAATTCTAAAATTGAGGGATCAAAATTAACATTTAACCTTTCAAAAATACTCCTACATAAAAACTAAAAAAAAAAAAGAAAATTGAATGGAGAAAGGAAAGAAAGTCCAAGTCCAAGATGACCCATGAATGGACAGGAACTCGTGGTCAACACGATCGATATGGAAGTTTTCTACTAAGAAACTAGTATAAAACTGGTTTATTTTAGTCAAAGTCAAGGTTCTTTAGTCTCAATGTATAGTAGGTGCTGATTAGCCATTGTCACCGAGAACAGATGCTAGTTATCCATTGCCACCGCTTCATGTGTACTCAAATCTCCACCATCCTGGGGATGTTTATTCACTGAATCAGATTATGAATGGATTTATATTTTAATGAAATTAGTTCCTAATTGGTAGAATTAGTTCGGAATTGAAATTTCAGTACTTGCATTTTTTTTAGCCAAATAGGTTTTTGTTACCGTATTGAATGCAAACCTCTTAACTATTTGTGAACTGAATTAATTTAATCTATTTCAAAATTTTGGGAGCAATCAGGGTAGTAATTAAAAAATTGGGTTCAACTATTGAACTTGAACTTTATAGCTAGCTTGGAATTGCAAATTCATTCGAATATATATTTTTTTACTTGAGTTTTATTTGTTAAATAAGATCTTTAAATTGAAGTTCAAACTTAAACTCAGGTAATAAATCTTTTAATATGATATTTTAAACTTGAAATTAGGTTTGTTTACATTAAATGAATATGTGCCCCCTCCCTCCCCCCCCAAAAAAAAAAAAAAAGGAAGAATTATATCAATCCTTGTGCTTAGCTTGTTTATTTGATTAAGATGGATTGCAAGCTTGATCTTTGCCCATCATGAGTGGCTCAACTCATTTACACCCAAGGACCATATATCTCCACTCAAATTCTAGATACCCTGCATGCTTTTTGAGAAGTTGATATGGACTATTGTTTGGGCTTGGATTTGGGGATTTATGGGTACAAGGGTTGGAAACAGTTTGGGGTGAAAGGTTTAAACAAAGGAGAGGAAGCGAGAGGAAAGGCAGTGACGAAATGTTGGGGTTGCCCCATGGTGGGGTTAATCCACTCAATCTTAGTGAGAGAAGCTCTTGTCTTAAGAGAGAGCCTGCTTGATATTTGTTGTTTTATATTGGCTATTGTTATGATCACTAAACAAGTGTAATTTTTTTTTTTTGAAATAAATATTTTTTATTGAGTCACTAGATACAGATAGCAATGTATGTATTATACATTAAATATTTGTATTATACGTTATGATGTTATAACTGTTATGATGTTATTACTGTTATTTTTGCAAGGTAAATCAACATATTCACCCACAAACAACTTTAATAGAACTTTTAACCGTTTCGTGTTCAATTGCCTGGGCAGAGAAAGGCTGCAATGAGAAATCTGAAGGCTGGGTTCCGAAGGCTGAAAGCAGAAATGCATGAGATCAGTAATGATCAACAAAGTATCGAGGAAGGACAAAATCAAATCAGAGAAAAACTTGTAGCCATTGAAGCTGCATGTGGCAACTCAGGAAGGATACGGACCTCATGGTCAGGCAGAGTGCTGCGAGCAAGCTTAATCTGTGTCTCATGTTCAAAATCCTTAAGGCCCGTGAGGAAGTCGATTTTCTTAAGGCCACCCGGCTTGCTCAATTGCTTCTGTTGGTTTAGTTCCTCAATCCTCATCTTGATCATTTTGCTTTTCCATACATGCTAAAGGGAAATTCTGCTTGACTTTTTCTTTTTATGCTATCTATTTTGCAGCACAATATTGACCAGGCAGAGCGAGCAAAGGCAGGGATCTATATAAAGGACAGATGAGGAAAAATTGTCAATAGGATTAAGCTTTTATTATGTTTTATCTGGTGATACCATATGCCGTATGGTTCTTGCTATCGTTAAACTGTGTTTTTCATTTCAAGTTTTAAGGTTTTGAATGGCGAACTTAATATATATTGAACTCTATTTATGGTTGTCATGTTAGAATGATTTACTGCTTTAAAGTGCCAAGGAATCTTGTCTTTCCAGTGCAGAATGCATGATATGATATACATATTTAAAATGTTAATTAATTAGACATAATTTGAATGAACTTTCTCAAGCAACAAATTTCGTCATTTTCTTTGAAACGCTACAAACCTCTCGCGAAATTGCAGCTATGGTTTGATGCAAAGTTACATATTCTCATGCAACAAAGCTGTAGAATTTTCTAGCTAACATTCTGATGAGGATGGAGTCGTGGAGACGATCTCTAGAACTTTAGCTGATGTGGAGTGTGAAGTGTGAACATGGCTAAGAATTCTTGATAAAGGGTATTTGTGGAAAGACTGCTCTGTGGGCCTGTTTTTGTGGGGTTATAAAAATATGGTGTGGGTTTATCTTTGTTTAATTTTGATAATGTTGAGTACACATACCTTTGTCAACGAAGATAATCAAGTGAATGAGTCTCAATTAAAAATATTTAACTACCCAAACATATTTTACATTTTCCAAACTCATTGGAGGAATTATTTATACCATGCCAGGTTTATATATTAGTACAAGTTTTGACAATAACGGACATTATATTCGATAATTCATGTTAAAAGAGAAGGGAACATTTTCCACAAGATTTAATTATTGCTCACCAATTGATAAATTATTATTATTATTATTATTATTATTATTATTATTATTATTTTATCATCACAATGTATTATTGTTTGAAGAATTTTTTATTTAAGAATTTATTTATAATATTATATATTTATTAATTTTGATATATAATAATTATAAATTTATAATTTTATATAGTATTATAACTACATTATTACTAACAAAATTATGTATTAGTGATCTGTTGATTCGAATATAAAAAAAAGTTTGATCATTTTAAAATAAAATTTTTAAGTTTTGTGAATAAAAAATTAGATATTATACTTTTAAGTACCAAATGGTTAGTAAGTAAAAAAAACCAACTGAATCATGCCAAAATTTTGATAAATCATAATTGAATGCATTGATTGAATAGATAGAAATTTTCTTGATTAGTCTTTTTTTAATATTATTTTAGATTGTACAAATATGAAGTTATACTTTTTTATTTCTTAATTGTTTTCACTCACATTGCTATGAAAGTTGGACATACAATCCCTTATTTTACAAAAAAATTATTTTTAAATTGTTTAATTTGTTGGTATAATCATGATTAGGTCATTTCACATATGAATTAATATGTGTTTATTTATTTAATATTATTAATTATTTTAAAATTTAATTGTACAAAAACATCATCAGTGAATTACTTTGATAAAAAAATCATTACAAGACTATTTTTACAATAGTTTAGACAACAAAACTGTATTTGTTTATTTTAATAGATTTAATTTATTTTTTAATTTTTAAAATATAAATGTTAAATAAAAATCTAACAATTTATATAAACAATAATT